TAACTGGTGGCCAGTGAAGGAGAACCAAGGTGATCTCAGCTTCCTAAGGCAGCTCCTGAAACAGTATGGATACATATTTGTGCCCCTCATTTCAGTTCCAGGCCAGGAGTGCCTGGTGATGGACCATCCCAGCCTGTGGCAGGGAAGGAGCAGGGCTTGTCTTTGTTTTGTTACCTCTGAGACACACCAGGGTCCTTCCAAAGCAGGACTCAGGTGCCAGGGGACTGCAGTCACTGCTCAAAGCCTCAGCAGGTTTATAGTCTATTTGTGCATTAAGTTTGGCATTCATGTTTAAAGATTAGCAAAGATTGAGAAATTACAAATCTTTAGAGCAATGTAACTGACTTGCTTTTAAGACCCTATAGAAATTATAAAGAACATGCTAAAAAATATTCAAAATAAGTTACTTGGTCACAAAGCAGTGATACACAGATGCCAGTGGGCTTCTATTCCATGTTTCACCAAGCAGTTTCCCAACTCCATTTTTATAAGCATCTCCACTGTGACCAGAAACTTAAGAGTTGATTTTTCTTTGATTAACCTTCACTGACTATGAAAAGGAAATTCCTGAAGGAATAAGGCCTTGCTAGTAACTTAGGCAACAGATCTGCCTGCCTCTTTAGTCTTTCTCTGGAAACCCAGCCAGTGCAAAGCTTAAATTAGTCACTGCACTGAGTTAATGACTGCAGCCCTTCGGTCTCTGAGGCAAAGATTTCATGCTGAAAAACCCTCCCTCCAGCCACGGTCAGGTGGCATAAAACAGATTATGGAAAAGCCATGACTAGCACAGTGAAATGAAGATCTGCTGGAGCAGAACACTGAGGAATGAGGCATTCAGGCCCCCCGTAAGTAAATCTGACCCCCCTTCCCTCTCGGAAAACCACGGTGAGTTGTACCTAGTTCTGCCACAGCCGCTGCACAGGCTGACAGGGCGAATTTGCTGGCTCGGGGCCATCTCTCTGGAAGAGGTAAGCTCCTCTCTTCTTCTGCAGGTGACATCTAGCATCTCACATGAACCGAGGGTAACCAGCCACCCTGCCCGCTGTGTCTGCAGGAAGAGCGGGCCCTAGCGCAGACCAGCTGGGGATGCTTTAGGAGACAAGCTGCGGAAGGTCATGCTTCTCCAGCGCCAGCACCGGGAGCTGCAGCAGCCCGAGTGGCTCCGCAGAGCTGCAAGGTCCTGCTGCAGTGACACAAGAGACTCCGACGCAACAGGCTCCTGGGAAATGTAGTCTGTCACCAAGGCTGCTCTGTGCCTGGAAAGCGGCACTGCAGGTACAGACACACGCACGGATTTGTCCATTATCTACATTAAAAAGAGTAATCATTAATGAGAGCTGAAGATTATGCGTGGGATCTGTTTGCTTTCGGGGTGCTGTCATTGGCAGCACTGCCTGGGGAGCCCCAAACTCTGTTCCCGTGTCAAGCAGCTGCATCCGGGAGGGATTAATTGATCCAGATCTGCTTTAGTAAGAGCTGCATTAGCAACAGCTACGTGCCCTGGGGCTGTGGATTAGGCAGGCAGCGCTGCAGTTTGAACAAGGATCCCAGCAAGCCTGGGATGGCAGAAATTGATCATTTCTCAGAGCTCTTAAGTGAAAAGTTTAAAGCTTTTCCTGGCTAAGTGCTGAAGTCCTGTTGTTTGCCAGTTCTAATTTCTCTTACATTATTGTAGAGCTTTTTAATTTATCATTAAGCTGAATCCCTAAGTTAATCATTAGTCAGTAATTCTCATAATGATTTGAGGACTTTTTTGGTCACAGAAACTTATCTCAGAACACCTCCCCACACCTCTGACTGCTTAAAGCTTTGGTGTGTGGTCCCTGTCAAAATAATTCAGACAAATTAAGGGAGCATTGCAGGTGAAATATTCAGCTGAAGCTGGATGAATCTGTCTCATTGGTCCCCAGTAATTGGTATTAAATTGGATCCTTCTTGGGGTTAAAATTCATTAGAATTCATGCAGGGATAAAACAAACTCCTGACAAAGCTGTGGTTAAAAATGGGGAGAGGGCATATTGCAATCCAATGCAAATGTGCCTGGCTACATGGAAGGTATGAGTGGTTCAGAGCGTGTTTCTGGACAGTTCATGCCATCTGCTGTGGCACTTCGTGCCTCCCTGCACAGCTTGAGTCAGCTTGTGCCACACTCTATCAGCCTGTGTATGACTGACTCATAATGTGGGGTAGAGAGGACCTCTAGAGTTCACCTGCAGTCATCCTACAGTCAGTCCTCTGCCACAAAAGGGAGAGCTTTGGAGTTACAGCAGGTTGCCCAAGGTCTTGTTTGGTGCCCTGAAAACCTCCCAGGATAAGGGTTTCACAACCATGTACCTCATGTACAATCTCATTCTGTTTTCTCTATGACCATGCTGTAGGGAGTGGAAAACAACAACTAGATCTCTCCTTAAAGTAAACCTTATTGCATTGCAGCATCCTATGGAAGGAGCAGCTCTCCCTGGTCACTTCTAGCCTGAAGAAATAGCTTTTTTTTTAAACCAGATGATTGGGGGATGGCTGTGAAGAGGAATATTCTCTTCCCACAGGACCTTTGAAATGAGCCTGACTAGAGGTGGATGCTTGCATGCACAGCTCTGTGATGTGTGGAGAAGGGAAGGACCAGTACTCAGGGAGAGCCATCAAACACCTGGATCTCCCACATGCCCAAATCCTGAGATGACAGCACCAGAAAAGAGGACCCTTCCTATTAATTTATTTCAACTCTCAGTGAGGTGGAGTTTTTTGGTTTCTGTCCCAAGCCAGTTTGACCAAAGGCTGCATATAAAGGGAGAGAGTGTAGAGTTCAGATGGGGTGGAAGCACAGTAGCGGGCTCTGGGCCAGCTGTGTGCTGCTGGAGAAAGGCAGCCAGACTGCTCAGTGCCCTCACCTGTGCTTCTGTGTTAGTTCACTTGGAAAAACCATTAAACATTAACCACTGCCCAGCCCAAGGAAAGCTTGGCAGTGACTGTTACACGTTCCTACTGGTTGTATCCTCCTCACAACAGTGCCTTGCATCTCATGTCCTTCACCAAATCATGCCCTAAAAGTACAACCTAAACAAAACAAACAAAAAAGGCCAAAACAAACACAAAAGCCTTTAATGAATGTCTTCACAGAGGCTTGAGAAATTGTCTGACCTGTACACATAGATCACTTTGAACTCACTACTCAGTCAGTTAATGAAAATATACCATGCGTATAATGAAAAGATGCATTTCTCCAATATTACAAGGCCTTTAGCTCTCTTATCACTTTACCCCTTTATAGGAAGAGAAATAATTTAATAGATAAAATAAAACATATAAATATAATAGATAAAATAAAACTTATTTTATCTATTTAATAGATAAACATATAAAGACCTGTGATAGCTAAACACAGAAATGTAGAAATATCACAGTTAACAGTGATTTATCTGTTTGTTCCAGACAGTTTGCAAAATGGAGTTCAACACCCTATTTGTCACAGCTGACGTATGTGAGCTTGCTCTTCTGCACCTACAACCAACATGTAACATCCCAAGTATTTCAAAATGACTGTTTAATGAAGAACATATACTTAATTTTCACAGCTCTGAACCTCCTACTATCAGGTATATTTCTGCTGTGCTACTTTTACCATACTGCCTGTCTGCACAGGTACAAAGGCTCCTGTTTGTGCTCCTCTTCCTGTATAGGAAGTGAGTTAAACTGTATTTGTATCTGTATTTGTTTATGCTCACTGCCTCTTTCACTGGGCACCCTGAAAAGAGCCTGTCTCCATCCTCTTTGCACCTTCCCTTCAGGCGTTCATACACACTGAGAAGTTCCCCCTGAGCCTTCTCCAGACTGAGCTGTCCCAGCTGCTCTTCTCAAATGACAGATGCTCCAGCCCCTTTTTGGCGCTTCGCTCTTGGCAGAGGATCACCTCCTTCAATCTGCTGGCAGCACTTTCCCTGATGCAGCCCAGGGTGCTCAAGGTCCATCTCTGACTCGTGTTCAACCTGGTGTCCACCAGGACCCCTGATCTGCAAAGTTCCCGTCCACCCAGGTGCCCCCTCAGCCTGTACTGGTGCATGGTGTTGTTCCTACCCAGTGGCAGAAGTTGGCATTTCCCTTTGCTGAACTTCATTAAGTCCCTGGTTTTTTAAATTTTTTTTTTTCCAGGAAAAGCTGAACCAGGGGATCCTTGGGGTCCCTCCCTAGCCGTTATTCTCGGATTTTGAGATAAGTTCTTCTCTGCCTGTTTTCCAGGCTGCTGAGGTCCCCCTGAGTGGCAGCACACTCATCTGGTCTGTCAGATGCTCCTGGTTTTCTGTTCCCTTCAAACCTGCTGAGGGTGTGTGGGGGTAGATGCTGACAGCACTTCCTAGAGGTTTTTTATACTTAATGTATTCTGTACGTAATTTTGATGTGCCACTTTCACACATGCAAAGTAACTAATCTGACCTCTATGAAACCTTGTCTTCTGACATGGCACTGATACAATAGAGGTGGCCAGCAGGTTTTGATCTGTCAGTTCAACCTCGGAGGCATTTCTCTGCTCCTCAGACACTGGACACATCCAGCCTTTAATGAAGTATCTCAGACAGGTGAGAGACACCTTTCTTAAGGTTTCTGCTTCAGGTGATGCCTGCAGAAGTTTCTTGCTGTCTCTGACTTGCTGAAAGCTAAATGTCTGCAAATCACAGGTTCTTTGCTTTCTAATCTCAATATTGGAAAAAAAAAAGTGTATTTTTTAAACCGAAGAAGGCTCTGCACTGCTTTACCGGTGTCCCTGGCTGCCCGGGTGGCCTTCCAGCAACTGGCGCAAAGTCCAAGGCTTTGCCACAGCAAATCTAGCTTTTGCAAGCAGCAGAGTTGGTCCTCATCCCAGCCCAGAGCAGAACTGGCTCTGCCTTTTCCAGAGCAAGGGCCTGTGCCCTGTGCTGCTCAGGGCTTTGATGCCGTGCCCGTGGCAGCGCTCGGCTGGCAGCGCCGCTCGCAGAGGCCTCGGCGGAGGCGCTCGGAGCGCGGCCAGCGCGGCCATGCCGGGGCTGCGGCAGGCGGAGCAGCGCCCGGCGCCGGGACGGGCGGCGGACGGGCAAAATGGATCTCGCTCTGCTCTTGGCAGCGCTCCTGGGACTCCTCATTGTCAAGGCTCTTTTGTTTCAGCTGAGAAACCCGAGCTCCCCTCCCTGCATCAGGAGCTGGATCCCTTGGTTTGGAGCTGCGTTTCAGTTCGGGAAAGCTCCTCTGGAGTTTATAGAGCAAGCCAGAAAGAAGGTAATGCGTGTGCTGGCCTGCCTGCTCGGGTGCGTGCTCAGGGTGGCTGCCTGCAAGGGGAAAGGCAACCAGAAACTTCTGCCTTCAGTTTTGCCCTTTCCTGTCACGTTTTATAACGTCAGGAGCATTTAAATGGTGAAGAATCGGCTTAGTGGCACCAGCATTGGTGAGTTGTGGATCTGATCGAGGCATGATCTCTGTGCTGTGATCATCCTGTTTGGAGCTCTGCCGTTTTGCTTTTGCAGTCTGGCTGTGTGTTAATTTTGGTTTCAGGTAATGTGGAAAGCTCTGTGCCAAGTGCTGGGACCAGGAAACTACTTACTTGCATGCCTAAAGTTAGGTGAGATTTCTGAGCACCAGCTGGTGTCCCTCAGCATTCAAGCAACACACAGACGTGCTTGGCAGATAAAATTTTCTGTCCTAAAAATCTTAACTAAACATGTGGGTCAGGATTTACCCCTTGGACTTGAATTTCTTTTTCTGTGTCTGTCGGATAGAAAGAGATCAAATTCTTAATTTCTAGATATTTAATAATAACTGACATAAACCCCAGTTTCCCATTTTCATTCAGGGATTATATCACCTGCTACTACAGTGTCATCAGCCTTCAGTATTCCATGCTGAAGAATCACACAGCCCCACTACTTGCAAAAAGTAGCTAAAAATGAAACCACTGTAACATCCTAAAATTTGAAAAAAAACCCAAAAAACCCACATCAATAAATACTGGATGTTTAAAATTTGCTTTCTCATTTTGAACTGCTAGATTTCATATTTGTGTTTCTTTTTGTATTGTTATAAACTCATGGTGTTAAAGCAGAGGATTAAATCTGATCTTTGAGAACAACAAGAGCTGTCAATCTTGTATTAAAGCACACTGGGTACATCATGGGGTAAGCTCAGAGGTATGAACTGGAGTTTCTTGGCTTCTCTGTGCTTGACAGGCCGGTTTTAATTTAATATTACTGTGTCTTTCCTGTAGCTTTCATCTGTGCAAATGCACACTCATTGGCTCTGGGTTAATTAATTCTGGTGTTCATTTGCCTGGAGACCCTCTGGGCTCGAGGTTGATGCTGTGGCAGCTGCTGACACATCTGCACACTCCAGGAACACCTGAAGGACTTTATAAACCTCTGGTTTTGTTGGGACAGAAACTAGAACAAGAACCATTTTCAATGGCTGAAAACTCAAAGCAAAGAAGGAAGAGAAGGCTTTCTTACATCTTTTCCTTTACTGTGTGGTTGCTGGTAGGGCTTTTCCTTTGACTCTTAGTCTAGCAGCTCCTTCTGACCTGTTCCTGTGGTCCCCCTGGGACCATCCATCCCTCCCAGCTGGCCAGCTGCCTGCAGCACCATCACCTGACAGTCTCCCTGCCTCTGAGGAAGGCCACTTGCTTCTTGTCCCCTTCCTCTCCTTAAACCCTCCTCAGGCACTGAAAGCCTCCCTCCCTTCCCGCCTCCCACACTGGCATGCTGTGCTGAGGCCAGGAAAAATAAGTCTTTTCCTGCCTGCTCCCTTTTAAAAGAGTAGGCACTGTTGGAGAGTACAGCCAAACAAAACACGTGCTGCTGCCAAAGGGGTCATTAACAGGCACTACAGGGCTTTCAAAATACATCTGCAATAATTCCAGGCTCCTTAATACTGCCAGAACAAGGTTAAGTGTCCTTAGTATCTGCTGCCCTCGTAAAAGGTGTTACAGAAATAGGCTTTGGGCAGTGTGAAACCTCCTCATCTCTGCAAGGGCATTATCTTCAGGGGAGACTCTTGCAATTCCTCCTCTGGATTAATCCTTCAGACTGTCGAAGTGACACTCATGTCTTTCTTAATTCCCTTTTTTCTTAATTACTTTCTTCCCTAATTCCTTTTGTGTCTATCCTTCACTGTTTTTTCTCTCAAGTCCTGGGTAACGCAGTAAAGTTCCACTGCTTCCAGCCTGCCCTTTGCTTGGAGTTTGCTGCTTCTATTTTCCTCCCACGGAAGAACACGTGGGCTGGAAGAATTGTCTCCTTTCCCCCTTGTGTCATCACTGGGACTAAGAAAAGAAAGTTCCCCTGCTCTAATAAAATATTTAATCTCTTGTCTAATAAAAGATACCACCTCTTCCTCCTAAAGCTGCCTGGTGAGAGAAGTTTTGCAGCAGTCTGGAATGGACAGGAAATAACCAGGGCCACCATGCCACATGAAATACAGGGTGAGCTGCTTAATGAGGCCTTCAAAGGGTATGGCTCCCCACCTGGCCTGGCAAACACGGTAAGAGTTAGTAAGGAAATTCAAATTATTCTCCTCAGTTTGCTAATTAAGCAAACAGGAAAAATTCATTTAAACCCAGGAGATTGCTCTGCACTGTTGTAGGGACCTGTGGGATCCATACATCCCTCTCAGAGAGAGTGTTGAACTGGGACAAGGTGCCGTGTCCCAGGACTGTTGGCCTTTCTGTGTGTGGCTGGGTGAGGCTCACTGGGTTACTCTGCAAGGGACATCCATCACTGGAGGGAGAAGGCTTCTGGTGGAGCATTTCCAGCTCAGTCACTGAAGGTCTGTGACTGCTCCCAGGTGCAGAAGACCAAAATGCTGCAGTCCTTGAGCTAGAGAAGGGACATGGCATTGACTCTGTGTGTGTGCACACCCAGTGCCCCCAGCTCCCAGCAGAGCTCTTGGTGCAATGCAGCTGTCTCAGCTGAGAGTGGTTGTTCCCTGGGGAGGAACCCTGGGAAATATTACTATTTCCCTGATTTCCATTAGGATTTTGGAGAACATCCTTCTGAAGTTTTTATTTCTCTGGAGTGTTACTTTCCTTAGGCTTGAATCTGTCTCTTACTGTGGCACTGAAGTGTTTCCCAATCTTTGGAAAAAAATTAGCTTTTATGAGTGAAAGCAATAAATCCTAAAAGGACTTTTTTTTTTCTTTCTATATCTCTCTATGTTCTGAAGTGTCCTTAAAAGCTGTTTCAGAGCAGTAACGTGGCTGCAGTGTTGGCCGCAGAGCCTGCACTCCGTTGGTACCTTCCCATAACACAAGTGCAGAACTGCCCCACAGCTCATCCCCGCAGCTGATTTTATTGCAGTGTAACATCAGTGTAATTACACATTTTGACAGATGAACAGCCTGGTTATTCAGCTGTCTGTCTGGGACAGCAGCCATTAGGAGATGCTCAGTAACAGGGTGTAAGGGGCACACCCAGGTGAGAGTATGTAGCCTCCAGCTTTTTCTTCCCAGCTCCTGGTTTAGGGATTTGCTAGGCTGGAATTTGCATCTATATGCTTGACCTAATCTCTTTTGTTACCCTGTGTATAAATGTGGCTTCCCAGCAATGTACAGCAGTGAATCCTTAATTTAATCATGACCCATATGAATCAGGTATTCTGTCTGGTTTTGAACCATCTAACTCCTAATCTCAAACCCATTAGCTTTTACATTATGAGGAACTGAGAATAATGATTATCTTTTCCTCTTTTCCTGGGATCTAAGTTCACTTAATCTCCTTTTATTGAAATATTCATGCATGTTGTGCATCCCTTTGACTTTGACTAGCTCAGAATATCCTGCTGAGATGGAACTGGCAGAAACACAAATTAAAGATGCAGGCACAGAATGGGTTTAGATGTTTCTTGTCCTTTTTCCTCACCTTTCCTAGCAAGATAAGAGCTCCAGATTAATGATTCGGGTTGGAAGGAACCTTAAAGATCATCTCATTCCAGCCCCTCTGCCATGACAGGGACACCTTCCACTATCCCAGGTTGCTCAGAGCCCCATCCAGCCTGCTCTTGAACAATTCCAGGGATGGGGCATCCACAGCTTCTCTGGGCAACCTGTGCCAGGGCCTCACCACCCTCACAGTAGAGAATTTCTCCCAAATATCCAGTGCAAACCTACTTGCTTACAGTTTGAAGCCATTTATTAGCACTTGCATAATAGATCTTGGAGTAATTTCAGAGTGTCATTATTCTAAGCCTTCTTCTGTGACATTTCTAGGTCTTCTCATTTTTTAGACTCTCAACTCCAGATCATGAGTAAACTTTTAGTTCTTCTTCCAAAGAATGAATTAGAAAATACTTCTAACACAACACAACCTTATGTCTCCCTAAAAGCTATACTGGGCTCTTTTGCAGTACATCCTATTTATCCACTACTAATTCAATCCTTAATAATGCTTACTGTAATTTTTTGAGTACCAAAATGACTCTGAGGCTTCTGGACTCTGTGGTCTTTCTGGCACCACGTTTGCCTGTCCATCTTCCTGTTGCTGAGGATGATTTAACAGATCACTGCAGGGAGTTCTGCAACTTCTTATTTTAATTCCTCAAGAGTTCTGAATTGAAATATTTATGGCTGTTTTACCTAGAACTTGTTTAAGTCTATTCTGCTCAATACTTCCTTCAGAACAAGGTCTCAGTCCATCACTCTCAGTGAAAGGCTCCAAGGTGGGATTTGTTTTACACTGATGTAATCCCTAACTCAGGTTCCTCCCCACTCTGTTTCCTTACACCTTGAGTGTTTATCAGGCTCAGCAGCACACTGGGAGACTTCCTGCATCTGGCATGCTTGGAAAAGTCTCTATTGTTGGGGAGGCAGATTGCCTTTATTAGTTTGATTTCAAACCTTTCTTAGTAGTTTAATTTTGCTTTGCATTTATCAAATGTCATATCTATTTGGACACAAAATTCTGCTTTCTGAAAGATCTGTTTGAATATCTGCCATGACAGTGTTGCTCCGTGAGGCTCTTATTCTGGAGAAGGTCATCTATGGAGCCTGCTTATTTCAGTTTTGTTAAATATTGATCTAGTTTTAATGATTCTAAATAGATTGCAGGAAGTTGGATGAGATTCAAACCCAGATTGTTGTGTGGGTGTTTGCAGGTTACCAGGATGGTCACTGGACACGTAGTCAGTGCTGTCAGTGGAGTCCAAGGGCAGCTCAGCTCCCTCCAAGAACAGGAGTGCAGGAGATGGTCTGGTGATTTGGGGTTTAGGATCCCCTGACTGCACAGACTTGATTTCTGTTGTCTATTATGGGAGCTCAGACATCTTGCTCACATGTAATCACCTAAAATATAGTGTTCCAATCTTTAATTGAGTGTGACCTTAATTGAATAATTAAGTGTTGTTGCAGGTTGCTATTAGTTCAAATTTAATTTAATTTTATTTTAAAATTAGTTTAAGTACATTTTAATGTTAATTTAAAATTTTCAAAATCTAATTTTTAAGCATGGTACAAATTCACTGATTTTTATCCAGACTGATGATGAGGACATGGACATCAAAAAGCAATCTTAAAAATGTAGCTATTGTAGAGTCATAGAATCACAGATTGGTCTGTGTTGGAATGGACCTTAAAGCTCATCTTGTTCCACCTCCTGCCATGGGCAGGAACAAATTCCAGTGGACAGCTGCTCAAAGCCTCATCCAATCTGGCCTGGAACACTTGTTATTAAAACAGTATTTTATTTATTATCACCAGAGAGTGTGAACTGTCATTCTTTCTTTGATAATTTGCAGTTGAAGGTCACAATCAAAATTCAGCTCATACCAGGAGGAATCTTCTCCTTGGCTTCAAAGAGCTTTTGATGAAGCAGGATTTACACTACAGACACCAACAGCAAAAGAAATGGTTAAAGTCAATGGCATAAACAATGTGAGCAAGTTAGAATGATCTTTTTATGCCTACATCTGACAGAAGATATTACACATTTGTTTTCTATTTTAGAGTATTTGCAAATATCAGGGATCATTTTAAAAATGTAGGAACTCAGAATTTAATACCTATTGGTGGAAGTTTCAAGAGGGCTCTAGGATATTAGATTAAGGGAAGATGAAATAATGATTTATGGCATCAAAAACCTTTCCTGAGCATCAGTCAATCTTTTCTGCTCAAAGATTGTTAGCTATTTTGATATTAATCTCTACAAGAAAGAAATCATTGGTATTAGGAGAAAGGGAAAGGAAAGGAAAGGAAAGGTAAGGTAAAAGGAAAGGAACCTGAAATATTAAAAATATGCAGGAGGGTGGACTTTTTGCTAAAACAGTGTAGACTGAAATAATAGGATTAAGGATATTTACAGTATTGGTACTTTGCTGTGGCAGCCAAAGGATGCAGTAGATAATCCATCCCTTGGGTTCTCTAAATCCATGTAGGTTGTATTGTTTGAACTGCAATGTAATTCAGATATAAAGTGTTAATTTAAGAGCAGAAATCTCTTCCACTCTGCAGGAGGTCAGGCACATACCACATTCCCTTCTGGTCATAAGCCTGCAAATTTTGGTCTGATTCATGTTCATCTTTGTGCAGTTCTGAGCCAAGGTGTGCAGAGAGCAGGAATGACCAGGTCCTCCCTCCTGACCTCTCAGCAGCACTGAAGTCGTGCTGGGGTTCCTGCAAAATGTGTTAGCAGTGTACTGACAGGAAATCTTTGTTTGTTCCAGCATGGACCTGTGTTCACAATATTTGCTCTGGGAAAACGGTTCACTTTTGTGACTGAGGAAGAAGGAACTGAAGCATTTTTTAAATCTGAAGACTTAAATTTTGAACAGGCAGTACAGCAAGCTGTCAAGAATGCAGGTAACTGAGACCGGTCTCTTTGTAAAAGGAAACCAAATCTAGTTACCCAGGAACATTAAATCCCAACCAAAAGCCTGTTGGCTTTTTGGTCATGCCTTAAATGCTTAATTCTAATCCATGACCTTGCTGTGAAATGGTGAAATTCAATTTCTCCATGATGACCCAGTACTGTAAACCAGGGATTTGGATTCAGTCTCAAGGAATCAGAAGTTTCTGATCCAGGGAATGTTGTTACTTTTACCACCCAGCAACCCCAGTTTGAGATCAGGTCCTTTGCTGTGGCTGGACTCCTCACCTGCATGTACCTTGTTAAGAGCAATTGTAGGTAATCCTGTCACTTCCTTGGAAAACGTGTTTCTCCCAGTTAGCTTGCAGCAATAATTAGTTGCTACACAGTAGTACAACAGTCATTAGAAAAGGATGAGGTGTTTATGAGGATGTAATTCTATAGCATGGAGACACAAACTGGTTTTTTTTTCACTTCATTCAGTTTTGTGGTGTGCCTGCATATCTCTCTACACCCCACTGGGGGGAAATCTCTGGATTGTTGATTCTGGCACTGAAGCTTCACGAGGCAGGAAGATGTTACACAGACTGGGAGAAGCAGAGTCATTACCAAAATCTTTACATGGTACAAGGAAGCTTCCAGGGAATTGTACTTTAGGAAAATGAGGGTTAAGGCATTTAAATTAAAGTCAAAAGAGTCAAGAGTCAAAAGTTAAGTGTAAAATTGTTCACTCTATCTTTCAGTGAAAAATCTACTTTCCAGAGCGTTTCTGTTTCATTTTGTATTTAGTCTCTGTTCCTGCAGAAGCATTTTATCAGAACCATGGTAACCTCTACAGCATGATGAAGGGGAAGATGAGTCCCAGTAACCTGCACATGTTCTCAGGCACTTTGTGTAAGGAGCTCCATGAGCACATGGCTCACCTGGGCACAGAGGGCAAGGGTGACCTCAATGACCTGGTAAGGTAAGGGAGTTTTGCAGCACATCTCTAACTCAGGGGTGTCCTACATGGAAGGGAAATATTTCTGTAAAGCAGCTGGGCCTCAAAAGTCTTACAAAAGTTTTGTCAGGATGCTCATCACAGCTCCATGGTTTCAGGTGGTTCACAAGGTGGACAGGGTTTCATGTAAAGGTGTTTCTCCCAGTTAGAAGAAGCATCTGAGCTGTCTGTTTGGAAGAAAAAAGAAAACACAACATGTTCCAACAAACCCTGTTTCCCAAAAGATGGGATAAAAGCTTCACATTATTTATAAAGAACTTAGAAAAAATGCTTAATCCTCTGCAGTTGAGAAATTTCCATGTTTGAGCCAAGCTTAGCTTGAAGCTTAACTAAGACCCTCTGCAACTGACTTGGCTGCCAGAACTTCACATTAAAAAAAAAATTGTTTCATGTGACAGCAACAAAGCTTTTAACTCCTTCTTCTTCCTGATTATCTGGGACAATACCTGTATCTTGTCTGTCCATCTGTATTACAAGCTGAATATTAATGGAATCATAGAATGGTTTGGGTTGGAAGGAACCTTAAAGATCCTCTTATTCCATCCCCTGCCATGGGCAGGGACACCTTCCATAGAGCAGGTCACTCAGAGCCCCATCCAGCCTGGCCTTGAAGTCTCCCAGGGATGGGGACAGATACTGCCTTTGGATTGGACCTGTTTCTAACACCTCACATTCTGATTGTCTCTTGCTGCCTTTTCCTGCATAATACAACAAGATACAGCTCTTAGTGCAGTTAAATCACTTGGCACCTCTCACTGCAGTTACTGCAATTTGGATTAACTGGGGAAAAATGTGGGGGAGAGGGGCTTTGAAATCTCCTAGGGGGTGATCAGTTCTGCTTTGCTAAACAAAGCAAAGTAAAAGTATTGGAATGCAACATTCTGAAGGATTGTTATTTAGCTGTCTTAAAATGAAATCCATAGAGCCACCAGATGGCCCCCTCTTCCTAATTATCAGAAAGTCAGAAAAGTGAGCACTATTCCCTGAAATACTCATTTAGCAGCATCTGGGCACAGCAAAGGCTGCACAAGAGTTTCCTGGAGTACAGGAGAAGAGTCTGAGGAAGGAGCTCAGAGTTTGCAGGATAACAGAAGAGCAAGCATGAAAGAGTGAGATGAAAAGAACCAAAAAAAAAAAGCATTATAAAAAAAAAATTGTTTCATGTGACAGCAACAAAGCTTTTAACTCCTTCTTCTTCCTGATTATCTGGGACAATACCTGTATCTTGTCTGTCCATCTGTATTACAAGCTGAATATTAATGGAATCATAGAATGGTTTGGGTTGGAAGGAACCTTAAAGATCCTCTTATTCCATCCCCTGCCATGGGCAGGGACACCTTCCATAGAGCAGGTCACTCAGAGCCCCATCCAGCCTGGCCTTGAAGTCTCCCAGGGATGGGGACAGGTACTGCCTTTGGATTGGACCTGTTTCTAACACCTCACATTCTGATTGTCTCTTGCTGCCTTTTCCTGCATAATACAACAAGATACAGCTCTTAGTGCAGTTAAATCACTTGGCACCTCTCACTGCAGTTACTGCAATTTGGATTAACTGGGGAAAAATGTGGGGGAGAGGGGCTTTGAAATCTCCTAGGGGGTGATCAGTTCTGCTTTGCTAAACAAAGCAAAGTAAAAGTATTGGAATGCAACATTCTGTAGGATTGTTATTTAGCTGTCTCAAAATGAAATCCATAGAGCCACCAGATGGCCCCCTCTTCCTAATTATCAGAAAGTCAGAAAAGTGAGCACTATTCCCTGAAATACTCATTTAGCAGCATCTGGGCACAGCAAAGGCTGCACAAGAGTTTCCTGGAGTACAGGAGAAGAGTCTGAGGAAGGAGCTCAGAGTTTGCAGGATAACAGAAGAGCAAGCATGAAAGAGTGAGATGAAAAGAACCAAAAAAAAAAAGCATTATCTGCCCAGGAAAGCTGCAGCCAGAGGAAGGATGTTTCAGGATGTTTGGTCCAGAGGGTTTTGTGCAATGTCCCGAAGGTTCATGTGGGTCAAACTGAAATGAGGGTGGTGGTTAATGGGGAGAAGGGGACCTCGGTGGCCAGAGCCTTTCTGCTCCTACTCAAGTGACCACACCCTAGCTGGTGAAGTTCAGCCATGTGTAGAAGACCAGCCTGAGGTCTGTGAATCTCCTGACTCTCTTTAAAATCTGAAATGAGTGTGGGGCTGAGGTGTGAGCCTTGTGCCAGCCCTTCCATACTGGTGAGTCCCACAGCTTCCAGGGCAGGCAATCCAAGTGCTGAATCCTGCTCTAAAACTGCTGCAGCAGCTTCCCTGTGGCCCCTAAGTCTTGAGCATCTTGTCCTTGCAGGCATGTCATGTATCCAGCGGTGGTGAACACCCTGTTTGGGAAGGGCATCTGCCCAACCAGTCCAAGTGAAATCAAGGAGTTTGAAGAGCATTTTCAGAAGTATGATGAGGACTTTGAATATGCTTCTCAGATGCCTGAGTGCTTCCTGAGGTAAAGGGGTAGAGATGATGATTGTGGTGTACCCACTACAGACATTTATCTTGCTGCAGTGTCAGCCATGGGAGACATTTCCCCTGGAGGATGATGCCCAGTTTTTATTGATGGTGTGCCCTCAGGTGAAGCAGGCTTTTAGGTGAATGCTTCAAAAAAGTTCTGAGCTTGTCTTGTGCATTTTCCTGGTATAAAGCAGAAATAACCTGGCTTAGGTGAGCAGAGGCCAGCTTGGACCTGTCAGGTAGCAGCAGAATGGGGTAAAGAGCAAAGGGCTGAGCCTAAATGTGAGTCACAAGTTCAGGGGGCCTCCAATGAGGTGTCTCTCTGCTCTTCTCCACACCTCAGCTGTTTTCCCAGTACCAATGCCAGGCTACATGTCTGCATTGTCACGGAATTGACCTTGGGTAGAAACACCTAAACCCTGAGGAGGGGCTTCCAGACACTGTCAGTGCTCTCAGGGCCATCATTGCACCTTTAGAACCTCAAAATACCTTCAAGAAAATTGAAAGAATTGAAGATGCTTTTAAAAAATGGCCTTGATTTTCTTCAAGAGGATCATTCTTTAAAAGGTTGGTCTAAGGAGTCTGTCCAAATCTACATTGAAAACCTGTAATAAAAAAGGTATGAAATTGTAGGAGAGTTGCAGTCCCAGGTGCTGTCTGCAAGAGGAGATCAGGCCAAGGTGAAGGCCTTGGACATGCTGTTCCTCATGCCAGTCATCACTTCTGTCAGTCAGACTGACATTGGCTGTTCATCAGCTGACTGCTGCCCAGGGGCTTTTGGAAAACAACCCAAGGAGGGCTTCTCATGGAAGGAAATGGTGGTTTCTGCTGCCTCAGTTAAGTGCTTCTTGTTTGTTGCTTTTCTTTACAGGAGCTGGTCTAAATCCAAAAAATGGCTTCTAAAATTATTTGAGAAAGTAGTGTTGGATGCTGAAAGGACCAACCCTTCAGAGACTGCATCCAAGGTAAACATCCGAGGCTAGGAAATAAGATGACTCTGTTGTATATTCTGACTGAAGCAATGGAGAGCAGGAATTACTTCAGAACTGGAAGAAATAAGTCAAATATGTCAGCTTTTATAGCTATACCCAAATGTTCCTGTATTGCTGTCACCTGCAGCAGGACAGACCCATAACTTTGACTCCTGTTCCTCCATTTAGTTCATTTCAAGCAATTCCGAGAACTAACATCTTCCCCTGGGGAATTTTAAGGCAAGGGGTCAGAGCTATGACCCATCCCCAGCCTGCAGTACCACGCTGCAGAGGGCACTTGAAAGAGGTGAGAGAAAGACCCTTCAGTTGTTCCACTGAGGGCACCGTGCTGTGAAACTTCAAAACCTTACATGTGCTATTTATAAACCCTGGTGCAGAGTGAGCAGATCCTTCAACAGCCAGACTGGTAGAAAATAGCAGATTACTGGCTTGGGAGCCAAGTACCCTAAATATTGATTGTGTCAAAGCTGAGATAAGTTGTTCCCCTGGTTATTCTCCTGAGCTCTGGCAGGAATTCTGCCGATAGGGCTGACAAAAGTGACGGCAGACTGGCATGGGAATTTTGATCTACCAAATGGTTGTAGGACAGATCATTAAATAAAACAGGTTTTATTCATACTTAAAAGCTTTACATACTGCGATTTATTTAGTAAAATAAACCAGATCAACAGAAAGAAAGAGAAAGCTGGAGAGGAGCTGGTGGGAGGTAAGAAGGTGCAGGAAGCACAAACTTGGTGTCTTAGATTGGATGGCAATTTGGAAAAAAATCAGCCATTTTTTATTCAAGATCAGCCTTTTCCCCTCTGAAAAGTAGGCAGGAAGTTTGCCTCAAGTGCATGGTTGCACTGCATTCAAGGAAATACTATAAACAAAAGCTGATCCTGGAACATTACACAGTTCCTATAGTTTCAAATATTAGCCCATTGAAGTCACTGCTCAGGTCACCAACAAGGTGCCTGAAACTAGGGAGGTTGCTGATGTGTCAGACCATATCTTTATAACAAGCACCTTTTTGGCATGAACAGAGAGAACATTTTCTACACTTTCATTCGTTCAACTGGCTCATTCCCATCTTGAGGTTCTTTAAAGCAGAGGTGTAGAGAAGGGATTAGAATAGAGATTTTGTTTTTCCTTTCTTCCACATACAAGCAACAATGGGGAGTGAGGGAACCTAATCCTCTAGAACTTTAAGGAAATGGAGAGCAGTGAAAGTATTCAGGAGGAATTAATGTGGTGCACTGAGTTCTCCTTGCCCTCTGCCTATGTGAGTATCACTTTCTCTTAATAGCTGTTATCTCTATATTGTGCCTTCCAAAAAAGCCATAACTAACATTCCTTCTCTTTGAGAAGCTAGTCCTTGAACTCTAGTAAGCCCTTCCCCAAACTACATTTTAATACATTCTTGGAAATACAGATTATTTTCTTTATCTTTAACAGACACTTCTGCAACATCTCCTGGATAACTTGCAGGGAAAACATCTAGCTCCCAATTATGGCCTCCTGATGCTCTGGGCTGCCCAAGCAAACGCTGTGCCTGTAAGTACATCAGCTGCAGAAACACCTTCTCTCTCTCCTGCTCCAAAGCCTGGATTTGGGAAGGAAAGGCTTTGAAGCAGAGGTCACACACACTCCATGGATTCCAAAGAAGGGATTATCACGCCCACATGCATCACTACAAATATACCCAGGCTGCAATGTCACAGAAGCAATGACAAGAAAAGCTCTTCTTGTATTTTTCCTAAATTATGTTGTCCCCTGTCATAACATTTCAGGAACATAAGCCTCACAGCTATTAAGATCACACTCTTAAGCTGTGAAGAGCATTTAACTCTGTTTTGAAGCACTGTGGCTGTATTATAGAAAAAACTATTTCAGTTTTTTTGATGTTACCAATTGTAAAGAATATCAAAAGCATAATATAGAGTAACTTCATCTGTGTGTAAACCCTCAAGTGATTTTTTTCTCTTTCATTTTTGGGAGATCTGCTGTACAAATGCCAGTGGAAGAAAAGCAATAGTTTGATTCTAGAGCTGTTACGTTTTGTCTGTGTTAGAAAAGGATTTGCTGGATTAATGACACTGATATAAGTATGCTAACAAGCCCAATATATCTAAGACAGCTTAGGCTGACCAAAGACATTTATAGGAATTTCTCAGATGAAAAATCCATAGCAGCAAAAACATCCTTTATTTACCATGACTACTAAGCTCTTTCCAGCACAGTTATGTCCATTACAGATGTGATTTAGAAAAACATGATAGTGAGTTATTTTTGTATGTTCCCCTAACGGATATATCTATGTTTTTTGGAGATTGGATATTACTGCAGTTTAGCCTAGGGGAAATTCATCCATTTCAGTGAGGTTTCTGTGGATTCACGTGTTGGTGTAAGTGGGAGGCATAGCCTGCTGTCTGTTATCAGGATAACTGACATTCCTTCCACAACACTTACTTCTGTAATATTCAGCTGTAAATAGACATACAGATATTTTTCTGTTTCTCAGAATAGTAACAACCACTGTTCTGGGGAATGGAATGACGAAAGAAAAGGCCTTTCACCTTCCAAGGGCATTTTTTACAAGCACTTTAAACCCTTTTATCTGAAACAATTCAGTTATCCCTTCTTAGCCCATGGAGTGAAGCCACAGTGTCCAACTGCTGTACAGGAAATCTAAGCTACAAGATTTGCTTTGCAGGGTGAGGGCTGCATCCATGTCAGTCTGTTTGGGAAATAACAGTCAGAGTTTCATCCCTCACCAGCACAGATGGCCCACGACCAGATCTGTGTGCAGGCTGCACCTCCTGCTAGCTCAGCAAGAGGAGAGAGACTCCTGGCATTGCTGCCAGTCCTTCTGGTTTCATCCTGCTTAAGAGGATTTTCTCCTTTCCTAAATTTCTTGATTTTCAACTTCATTGCATAATCAGTTAGCAAATTATTTCTAAAGGGGATATACTACTCCTTGTTTTGCTGTTAATTAAAACTTTTCCTGCCCATTTTAGTGTGACTCACTATGACAATGCCCTGCAAATTATTTAACCTAATTTCTGCAAATGCTAGTATGAATTTATTTTTCTTTCATTCCTGCAGCTAAAACTAATCATGCACGATGATTTAGTAGTTAATTTAACACCTAGTTATTTGAAAATAAAGGATTCTGTGTTTCAAAGCTCAAGGCCAAAGCTATATAATGTTCACTGAAGATAAGTACACAGCAGATGACTAGACATAATCTCCCAGGAGCTGAGCCCTTAGATATGGATTTACCCAGGAAGCACAGCTCCCCACGCATCTCAACCACAGCAGGCACATACAAAAAAAGTCCAAATGTTTTCACCTGCCTCTGTGATTTGCTAAAAAGATATTGTCATTCTGCTCCGTGTCCCTCAATTCAAGGATTTCCATCTCTGTTTAGGTTGCATTTTGGACCCTTGCTTTCATACTCTCTAATCCTGCCATTTACAAGAAAGTCATGGAAGACCTGGCTTCTGTTTTTGGCAAAGCAGGTAATAAATGTGATTTTGTCCTTCTGGAAGCTGGAAGTGATTTATCCTGTGTTGGCCCAGCACAGGGCACACTTGGTCAGTGGCTGGGAACAAAGAGTGTTCCACTTAAGGGTTCTACTGACAGCATAGAGTCCAGCTCTCAGGTCTTTACTCAGTATATGTTCAAGACATATTTTTAAGCAAAAACACCTCTGATGTTAGCAGAAGGAAGCAGGAAAAGAACACTATGTGTTTGTTTCTTCATTCCTATCACTTAAACTTAGATTAGTATTTCCCAGTCTTGTGCTTTTTCCAGGCACCTAATAGGTGAGGTCTTTCAGTTCAGGTGCTTTTCATGGTGTGCTGTTCACCAGAGTTATAGCTATTCATGATAAAAAACAGACCAGAAACTGTTCTCTTTTCTGTCAATAGAGGCAGAATTTTCCCAGCATGGTTCACCCCCCATGAGTAACCTGTTTCCCTCCAAAAGCAGTCACCTATTGGGAGCAGTCGTTCCCATATGCAGTCCCTGGGACCAGAGTTAAACTTTCACAGAAGACTTTGTTGACGTGGGTCAAAACTGTATAAAAAAACATGTCAGTAATTAACCAGTAAAGAAAATTCCTGAAGCCTTTTTCCTGGCCTTGTTTCATTTTCTAATGTTAACAGAGCCCAAGAGCTCAGCCATGGCTTCTTGTCTTGGTGCCTACAGTCCCTGAGATTCCCATGCAGTATCCTATGAAAGCACAAAAAAGAAAAACTCTTAAGACTTCTAATTTCCAACATGGCTTTGTTTGGCCCCTTCTAACACCATATCTACACCTATCTTAGAGTTTTTGAATTATGTCCAATGCCTTTTCTTAAATTTTACTGATTTGGGTCTGTTTATTTACTTTGAAATATATTGACAATTGTTGTGTGTAAACAATGCCTTGAAGTCTTGAAGTATTTCACCCACAGTCCTAAAGCAAGACATGCCAGCCTGTATCAAAGCAACTATGAAATGTAATTTTTACATGGAGTCTTCTTTCTCATGCCATAACAGGTAAAGACAAACTGGAAGTCTCTGAGGAAGACCTGAAGAAGATCCCTTTCATTAAATGGTGCACTTTGGAAGCCATACGGCTGAGGTCTCCAGGTGCAATCACCAAGAAAGTCATAAACCCAATTAGAATTAAGGTGAGGTTTGGTTGTGGGGCTTTTTTTTCCCCCCAGAGGATGCTGTGTGATTTGTCTGGAAAGGATCCTCCCAATAGATCTGGGTAAAATTACAGTGATAGAGATACTCCCCAGCCTCACATATATATTCTTTTTAATAGATTTATTCGTCATCATTAATTTATGAGTGGTTTGGATTGTCTGGCTCACAGTCTTGCCTTCAATTTTGAATTGATTTAAGATTGAATTGAACTACAGATACTGATGGCATATAAAAGAGGAATCAGACACAACAAGTATAGTAGAAGGAACTACATTTTAGTTACTGATAAGACTCCTTTTTGTCCTCTTCGCTACCATTCAGAAGGGAGGTGTCAGCATTCAGGAATCTGGCACAGAAATGTGTGGGAAAAAACCCACACTCTTAAGGAATCAGTGCTCATGACTATTTAAGATTACTGATCAAATTATCAGTATAATCTATCTACTGTCATAGAAGGCTTTCTTTGAATTTCTTTGCATTGAAGGAAGTATATAACAAAATATTTAGAAAAAAGAAAACAGCTCACATGATAAATCAAGAAGCAGGAAAGACAGAAATAATGCTTCTGATCTTTTGATATCTAAAAAAACCCCAAATTAGAACACAAATAGTCTTTCCAACTTCCCCATTGTTTAGATTTTATGGAAAAAAATAGCAGCAGCAAGAAGAAACTTCAGACACGTAATATGGCCACTATGGCTTTATCACCTTCACTTGTCTTTTCTTAGGATCTTCTGCTGATGGAAGAGAACTACCAAGGAGAGACTATTTTGTGAAATTTTTAGTTCTTTTCTTAGAGATTTTTCTCTTTTCAGAATTTCACCATCCCTGCAGGTGACATGCTGATGTTGTCACCATATTGGTTGCACCGGAATCCAAAATATTTTCCTGACCCAGAAATGTTCAAACCTGTAAGTTGTCGCTCTTAGTGTGGATATTTTGCTGCCTTTTCTTCCCTTTACTTCTTTTACAATAAAAGCATATGGACAAATGTGCTTAAATCTGGCTGGAGAATGTCCTTGAACACAGAGACATAAAAGAGGAGCCTGTGGAGCCTGTAGGAATAAAAAACTCTTTTAAATTCAGTGACATGTTGCAGGTAATACGGTACTACTTTAGTATCACTTTGATCCTGATCTTATCACTCTCTGTAACTCCCTGAAAGGAGCTGGCAGCCAGGTGGGGCTCAGTCTTTTCTCTTAAGTAAGAGCTGATAGGATGAGAGGAACCAGCCTCAAATTGTGCCAGGGGAGATTTACATTGGATATTCGGAAAAATTTCATGACTGAAAGCACTGTCAGGCATTGAACAGGCTGCCCAGGAAAATGGTCACCATCCCTGGAGGGGATGTGTAGGTGTGGCAGCTGGGGATGTGGTTTAGTGGTGGATTGGCAGTGCTGGGTTAATGCTGGACTTGATGATCTTAGAGATCTTTTCCAACCCAACCAATTCTGTGATTCCAAATATTCTCCTCTCCCTGGTGGATGATTTATCGTAGGTATTATCTCTGCTAATTCAGTAGTTAATCTAGTTTCTTGATTATTATTCCACTGCAGGTGGCTGTGTGGGCAGGCTTGTAACTGCTCTTTTTAGCACCATCCAATATAGAACAGTTTGTCTTTTTTATAGAAATACATCAAGAAGTAATTTAAACAAAACTTCCCTTCTAGCAAACTCTTCCTGATTTGAAATCCCTTTTAACAATTCCTGCTTCTTTGAAATCTGAAACTCTGATGCAGCAGCTTATTTTTTTAGTAACTTTATTTCTAAAGAGCAAGTGAGCTTGTTTTTTAGAAACTCTCCCTTTTTTTTCAAGAGGAAGAGATGAGTGCCCCTTGGACATTGTCATTCCAAATGTATGACCTTGCTTCATCACCACAGAGATATTTTTTCTTCTTTATTGGATTTTGATGCTTACAGGTTTCTTCCTCAGAAATCTCTAATCAGCCCTAGCTGAAAAAAACACCCTAAAATAGATAAGTGCAAGATGATGTCTTCTCTGGGACAGCTTCATCAGAGGAGTTCACCACCAGAAGCTTGACAGGGTGTTACTTGGCAGAGTAGCACTGAGTTTGTGAAGGCTGGTACAGTTTGTCACCCAGCAGTCATGAGATTTGCTTCTCTCAGTGTCACCCACCAGAACTTCAGCCAATATTGCCGTGTTCCTTGTGTAGTCTCTTTCCTCTCAAAGCAATTTAGGATGGAGCAGGGATCCCTTTGGGTACAGACAAGCTATTTTTTGTGGAGAATCTTTCATGTTCTCACACACTGGCTTACACCAGTTAAAGCTCATAGACCTTACATTTGTCTGTGCAGAGTGTCTTAGAAATGTTTTTTTTGTGCAAGATGTATGTGAGCTATTTGTGTGTCATGACACAATTTTGTGGCTGAGGCTTCTCTCAGTACTGGTTGAACATTTGCATTTGTAGATACATTAAAAAGAGAAGGTTGCATTTTAATAGCTCAAGATGCAGGATTTAGGAATTGGGGAGGTATAGGAAAACTGCTTTAGGGGTAATTTTGAAAACTTCTCCAGCATTTTAAGACAGCTAAATGTGTTTCAAATGGGACCCTCATGTCTTTCCCTGATTCAGTTGTTGACTTTTGGATCCAGATTCTAATACTAACAGGTTGAATGCAAAAAAAAATGGTATTAGTGCAACTTTGTATTGAGGATTAGCTGTCCAAGGTCATTTTTAGCTTGAAAAAATAAAGTTAAGCTTTATTTATATAAGGCTGATTTGGAAAAAAAAAAGTTTCTTCCCACAGGATCGTTGGAAAGAGGCAAATTTAGAGAAGAATGCTTTCTTGGACAGCTTTGTGGCATTCGGAGGAGGGAAGCATCAGTGTCCAGGAAGGTCAGTGAAACAGCTGGAGTTTATTTATTCCCAAACCCTGCAGAGAACAACTCTCTTGAACTGGGCTTCTCTTACTCTTGGAGATAACGTGTTTGCTTTGCTCTTTGTCAGTCTCCTAATGTTCAGCACCATTTGCACCTTGTTTAAACTGATCTGAAAGTGGTTTCATTCCTGGAAAAGACAGGTGAAGTCACAGTGAACAGGCAGAATCTGAGATCATTGTATCAAGGGATATTGCCACCCACCCAGGGAGTGGTGGGAGGAAATTCAGCCTGGCTTTGCCCCTGCTGAGGTTTGTTTTTGTCAAGGGAGAAACACACCATTTTACAGACACAGTTATTTACGTTGTCTTAAACCAGTTCTGCACAAGCCTACAGAACATTTCTTGGGTCTGAGACTCTTTCCATCCTCTGTGGTGCCATTGACATCTCTGCTGATCTTCAGGTATCTCAACCTCCTCTCTGTTTGAATCTGGTCTTTGCATTAGGGCACACAGAATTGTATAATGGCTTAAATAGCAGATCCTGTCTCACTTCACTCCTCCAGCAATGCCAGCCTTGGTACTTCCTGCATTCCTTCTGCTGTCTTCTCTGCTGTCCCTCTTCCTGGAAAAAGTCCCAGGGAGCCAGCTGCTCCTTGTTCCTGTGTTCAAACATCTCTGTGCTCAATCCTCTGCTTTCAAAACCTGAGCTCCTGTGAGACAAAAGTCTCCTTAGAATCCTTTAGACCAGTCATTTTACCTTGAGTTCCATATGGAGCAAGGAATCTGGAGGGTATTGCAGAGGATCTGCATTCTGGAATCTGCAGCCTATGGCAGGCTCAACATGAGTGCCAGATAAACTTTGTAAAGGCATTAAAGTCATGAGCAAAATGAATAAAACTGCTTTTGCCATTTGGGCTTGCCAGGGGGAAGTGCTCACTCACTGCTGTACCTTGGTGGCTTGTACCACATTCCTGAGCTAAATCTGAGCACAGCCTCATTCCCAGCAAGGGCAACAGCAAAATTCACAAGAGGCATCTGCAGGTAGAGGGAAAGCTGCAAAACAATGAAAGCTGCTTGTTTATATATCCTGACCTATATCTTTGTTCAGGCTGTTCTCTGGGCTCTGATAACATCTTTCAAATAAGTTTTTGTTCAGAGAGCAAAGTATAACATATCTACACAGACAACAGATGGAGAATCTTGTTCTTGCTGAGAAACAAAAAAGCCCTTTCAGACCCTTTGGCAGTCCACATGGTAACACACACCTTCAGGTTTTTCAGCAATAATTGTAAAATAATAATGTGATGATCTTGAAAAAACCCAAAAATTAAAGCAAGGGTTGTATCAAGGATTCCAGGTCGCAGATTTCCTTCATACAACTGATTGAAACAATGTTATTCAAAGTTTAAGGTGCATTTTTATTTATTTCAGTACTGTGGTTTATAAATGAAATGTATGAAACATTTAATTTCTCCATTGCAGAAGTTCAGCATAAAATTAAAAGCTAATTTAATCAAACTGAAAGCTAGTAAATAACTTAGCTGTTCAATATTCTACCAAACTGATGTGGGAAGAGCTCCCAAAAAGCCATTTCTGTGCCATATTTTTTACCTAAAAGAAAAATTTGATGCTAGTTTGACTACTTTGGTTGAACCAGGTGGTTAGTGCCTGTGTAGCTGTGCTTGTCTCGCAGGGGTGTGTTGTCCCTCAAGCACTGGGGTCCAGGGCCCTGCTGTGCAAACAGATCTGGGACTGGAGGGACCCAGCCTTGCATGGTGCTGCAGGGTTGGAGTTTGGGCTACATCCCACCTGAGCTGGGCTAATAGCCATCAAAATATCTCTGCACTCCATTCCCCTGAGCCAAGGCCACCAAAAGCTCAAGGTAATTGCAGTGTGAAATCACAGGGATAATTTGGGTCTGAAGCTGTGCTGAAAGAAGCAAGGATATCTCACTCCAGAGCCCAGGGTGGCTCCATGGGCAGAGCCTGGTGGCTCTGCAGGAGTTACCTTGGGTTTGTGAGGCTTTTTAGCTTCCCTTCACACCTGCCAGGCCAGCTCCATGTGCAGTCATGTAGCCTCTTCCCCTGTGAATTCCCCCATAGCTATTTTATCCAGGTTTCCCAGCATTTCTCTGTACAAGAGCAAGGTGATATTACTATTTTAACTGGGTATTTAAGACTTGTGTCTAAACTCTGCAAGTGAGTAATCCCATGACCTCACATAGGTGCACACTGGTGAATGCAGAGAGCTCTTGTACACATAAGCTTTAAAAACCAATAGCATGGAGGATTTCACCTGCAGTTATCCAAAATCTTCTCTGGCCTAACAAAGAACTTTGGGAGAGTGTTACAGAAAAAAGAAACCGTGCCCTTGGGTCTCCTACTGCATCCTAATGCTGACGCATTAAATAATAACTCCCACTGTCACTGCTCTCTGATGTCACCAGGCTCCCAGCTGTATTATATAACTTTATATAGCACAATTAGTCATATGGCCTTTTCTGTTTGACTGCCTTCTCACTCCTAGGAAGTTATTTCAAGTCAGCAAGTGTTAGGAGAACATAAATGTTTATACAGTGGAAAAATCCATAATGATAAGGAGCTGGTTTAAAATAGGTGTCAGAGGGATACTGTCAGTCCAGTGTTTCACCGGAGAAAGAAGGGGCAGCTGCCACATTCGTGTTCTTTGCTGAGTAACAAACCCAAACTACAGCAGTTTTCCTATGGAAGATAAACTTTCAGGCAGAACTAAAGCACAGAGTGTAAAATGTGTCAGACACCCTGTTTCTTACCTGATAATAACACACATGTGATGGTCAGTCTGGAGGGCCAGTGCTTTCCTCCCTTTTTGTGCAGGTGGTTTGCAATCATGGAAATCCAGCTGTTGGTTGTGCTGTTCCTGTACAAGTATGAATTTGTGCTCTTGGATGCAGTGCCAAAGGAGGTAAGAGATCCATGCATTTGTGTAGCATTCTCCATCTTTATACCCTTCATTCATCAGGTTCAGCTGAACAGCCATGCTCAACTGTGGTTACATCAATTTTGAGAGGAGTATTATAAAACATGTATCTTTGTTTTAACTCAGAAAATCCAGAGTAATTCCAGCAATTCCAGTTAGTGGGGCTGCACTGCCTGTACAACAAAGTGCTTACAAGAAAGTTTTGTCTCATCGTTGCTTAAACATTACCAGAGATTTGATACCTGTTGCTCACAAAAACAGTAAATATGGAATGAGATCACTAATACTTTAAAGATATGGAATCAGATGTAACACTTGTAGTGCTCTTCCACTCCATATTCAGGGGTGGAAGGTAAATGGTTAGGTAAGATTGAATGAGCAACAGAAAGATTTTACACTTATGGTAGAATGGCACAATTGCCACTTCATTATTTAAACATTTTGAAAGTATTCAAAACTGTGAGAGTTTCTTGAGAACTCATGTGTCACCCTGACAGAGTGACTGGAATAATAATTAAGCATGAAGGCCCTACTCGATGGCTTCGGCAAAGCCAGAAAATAATTATTGGTATTTGGTATTGGTTCTCTTAAGACTGAAGATGCAAGGATGCTTGTATCTTAATGTTAAAGCACAATGGTAATTGTATTAACTAAACTAACTGATGTGTTTTTTCTGAATTTCTCCTTTCTTCAGAGCCCTTTACACTTGGTGGGGACACAGCAACCCATGGCACCATTACAGGTCCGGTATAAATTTCGGGAATGAAAGTTGTGCAGCACTGACCTTTCTTTGCCAGCCCATGCTGGATGGATGGACCACTAAGCTGCTTCCTAATCCCACATCTTCAGACAGCTTCTCTGCCTGCAGAGTTCTTGATTTCAGCTTTCAGTGCTGTACACTGTGCTGTGCCAAACCAGTGCAGTCGTACCTGTGCTCTTCCCCGGCTGCCCACCTCCCAGTGCTTCAGTCCAAGCTCTCCTGCTGCATTCATAATTTGTGGGCCAGTTACTCACTGACTTTGCAAATCTGATATACTAAACTCACCAACCAAACGTTCAGGACAAAAAGCTGCAGTGTCTGGAAATCCTGTGTGGAAGCTGTGCCAGAACCAGCAGAGAAGCAGCTCCCTTGGGCCAGGTCACTGCTTCCTGCAGGGCGCTTCAAACCAAGGCCAAAGTGGTGCCTGATGCTAAGAAATCTCATTGGTAACAGCAAACAGCTCCCTGGTGCTGGTGTGCACAAAATCCAGGACAGTCTGAGCAGAGACCTCTGGATCAGCTCCACATCCTGATAAACTGTGGGGACTTGTGTGTCACTGCCTGGGTGGGCAGGTGAAGGTCCGGCCTGCTCTGCCTACAACCAGTGCCAACTTCTTGTGAATAAAATGCATTTGTAATGGAAAAATTGCCAGCATTTGGGATCTGTTCCACTGGAGCACCTGAAATTTCTGCTGAGCTTTATTTTGCTCCACAGGATTCAGAATTGGTCCTTGCAGGAATTTGCAATGAAAGTTTGACCAAGTTTAGCTCCCAATAAAAAGTGATTGCAAGGAAAGCTGTTCCTGCTCATGAGACTGGTTGTCTGTTATCTAGAACACTTTTACTTCTCCTTCCATGAGTTATAGAACAAATTGCACAAATCTAAGAATATTTAATCCTGTAAAGAATACCTAGTAAAAGTTGTTTGAACATGCTGTCAAATAAGTTCAGATACCAACACTTTAACTGCTGTCAGATTTAATATACAATAATAGCTGGCATGTATTTTTAGTCTTGTAAGGAAAGATTATTCATCATTTTAAAAGTATTTGCAAAAAAAATCCCCTCATACAAATAGACTTTGAACAACAGAGCAAACTATGGGAACAACATGCATAGGAAAATAACACATTGTATAATTCATTACATGGTTGGCTTACCTTCGTGATGGATAGAACAACTTCAGTGATTTATATGGCTGGAAAATAATTCATCCAACTTTTATTTCAGCCCATAATGGTTAACTGTGTAAGAGTTGCAATCTTAATTGCTGTTCAAGTGTCTCTTCCATAACTGAAGGCCATTCCCTTGGATTTCATGCATGGTATTACCTGGAAGTGTATATTTTAATTTTAAAATTTGGAAATGACCATAATATTTGTAAGGCAGGCTGGATGGTCTTCTGAGCAACCTGGTCTAGAGGAAGGTGTCCCTGCCCATGGCAAAGGATTGGAACTGGGTGATCTTTAAGGTCCCTTCCAACCCAAACCATTCTGATTCTGTGATGATTTTTATAAATATTTTGCACTCACAGACCTCCACCCTGATCTGCCAGAGCAGGAGGCAGGATGAGGCCACTGCTGCTGTTTGTCTGAGTGCTGAGTGTTTCTGTCTGAGCTGGCCACTGGAACCATCAGTGGATACACACATTTTACACATCTGTGGATGTGTCTGCTGGATCCAGGGGTGTGGAGCTGCAGCAGCCTCACCTCTGTGGGGCTACTGGATTTAGCAACTCCCCATCAGTCATGAATCAGCCATGAAAACATTAGTCCTGAAAGGCAGGACATGTTTTTATTGGAAGTGCAGGCTTTTGACAGGAAAGAAATACCTGTTCATGGCAGAGGTGAAGAAAAGTGGGCCTGACTGGAGTTCCACACTGCCCTGTTGTATGTGACAGCTCCAGGCACTCACTGTACTTTCCAAGGTGGAAAAAAACAAGGGAGGTGGATTAGTAAAGCAATGTGGTGGTCAAGTGATAGAGCTAAAAGGGGTCTTCTGCCTGGAAATAATCCAGAAGCTTCTGGAAGAGGAAAAGACTTTTCCATGGGACAGGGTTAAACAGGCATTAAAAGGTCATTGAGATACCCTGTGCAGGAGTGGATTAAGAGTATCTAAATTATTCTTCTTCAAGTGCTTGTCCAGTCAGCTCTTAAATAACAGCAGTGCCAAATTTCCATGGGGAATCTGTCCTCTTACCTGACTCTCCCTGCTGTTAGAAAGCTGTCCTACAAATCAGGACATAGCAGGAATCAGAGTAAGGTTTTATCCATGCCATTACCACAAGACTGTAAGAAGTCAAAGATTTTTAAGCCCACAGAGAAATAAAATGTATTTCAAGCTACCTTTTTTATTTCTACCTTCTGTATGAAGACTGGGTGTTAAAGGGAAAGTAATAGAGCATCCCTCAAAAAAAATCTTAGAAAATGTAACTCTTCCTCCTCCAGATGTGGCAAAGGCCAGCTCTACCTGATAAATTCCCATGTCAAAGTCATTGAAACAATGGTAAGAGTTGTCTTAATGAGACAGGAAATGTAGTATTACAAGGAATAAGAAATAAAACTCTGTTACATGAATTTTCCTTTAATAATTGTATATCAGAGAAGTGTTTCATGGAAAAAAAACCAAGGAAATGAACACATTCCAGGCAATTTTTTTATACTTTTGAAGAGAGCATAAACATTTTCCCTGAAATAATGAATTTTCCTGTGGAAATATAAAACTCCTGAAAACATTTTGAGTTAAAATTCTTGACCTCCTGTAAGTGAATCTTCTCCAGCCAGTGCAGTGAAAAGATCACCCACAGTATCAGCAGCCACCTCCCAGAATAATCACAACTTCTTTCGTGTCTTCCTTATAATGAGCTTCCCCAAAGGCCCCTCTCAAGCCAAGTATTTCAAGTGGTCTTTCTCTTTTCTGTGCCACTGATTGTCACAGAACCCAGAAGTTTAGACTTAGCACATACCCTCCTCAAAATAGCTGTCTGGGGACTAAAAGATAGTGTTGTGGCCATTGAGAGGTGGTCTAAAAATAATGACTTCCCCTCAAACAGAAATTAATTTTAAGACCCTTGCTCTGTGCTGGGCTTAGGCATTTTGCCAAGCAAAACTCAACTTAAGCATGTGTTTTGCCTTAAACAAACACTTAAAATGGATCTGGGGAATAAGAATGGATTTTGATTTAAGCACAGGCTTAAGTGCTTTGCTGAACCAGGGTCCAAAAGCCTCAGTCCCTAACCTGTTGTTTACTGTTAGTCTTGGCATCAGCATTGCAATTTTAAGGACATACAAAGGTTAGTGGAAATACTGAGGTGGCTTTGCTCATTTTAGGTGAACCTGGCACACATGAAAGGATTTTAGGAAGCATTTATAGCCCAAACCAGTAGGCTTTGCTGGCAACAAGCATCTTTCCCAGTTATTTGGTACATTCTAAATGCATGGCTCATCACACTGCAAAAACTACTCCCTGTCCACCATGTGGTAGAAGGGGAATTGGACACAGGAAAGGCAGTCAGAAGATAGCAAGCACTTAATTGCAGCAGCCAAGGAGAGGCTTTCATCATGTGGCCATTCTGGATGACATTGGACATGCGACTGATTGGCACAGCATTATTTGGGTTTTTCACTTTGATCATAAAATTACCAGGAAAGGCTTAATGGAGTTATAAATATCTTGTTTCCATGAGAGTCCTGGGAGGATAATTATAGCACTGAAGTCTTTACAAAGATAGAGCATTTATGAAATTATATTATCTGAGGCCTCCAATGGATAATGCAGGGAATTCTGCACTCTATTCCCAGCTCCCCTATTGACTCACGGTGCTCTTTGGGTGAATCACTTCATCCCTGTTTCCTCATTCTGGGGTAATAATGACAATTACCTACTGCTGCAAAGTCTGTATGGCTTAAAAGCTGTTGCTCCCACTCATCAGAGCACTCCTGCCTGGTTATTGATAGCAATGGCTGTCTGGAAGGCTTTGGATGAGCTACATGTTTTCCTGATGTGTGCTACTGGTAGATTACACTACTTGTAGAGTTACAGTCAAAACACTCAGGAGAAATATTTCAAATCTCTTAATTCACAGTTTTTAAGAGGATGATGAAACAGCTGTACCCTACAGTCTTCAGAAATACTTCGTTTTTAATGCAAAGCTTGGCATTTAAAGACTATGGACAAGTTTCTTGTTGAGTGAAAAGACAACTTCCTTTCATAAAACCAGCTCCTCTGGAGGAGCATTGTCTAGAAGGGCTGAGTAGCAGCTGCCTGTGAGTAGGAACTACATCTATACTCTAACATTCCCAGCTGCACTTTTCCTGCTCTAGAGACACCATACATCATCTTTCCAGCCTTGAAAAAGGCAAGTGAGGAAAGAGTGATGGCAAATGGGCAAATGATTGTCACATGGGATACTTTGCTTGAAGGCCCTAGCATGGATTTTGGTTACAAAACCAAGAACTTCAGTGCTGGAGAGGAGATCCTACATCTCCCATCAATAGCACTATAACAGCCCTGGCTGGGATTGCAAACAGCTCCTGATAAATTTGAGAGACATCAGAGCTCTCCAGTAGTGTATGGGCCTTTGGAGCTTGCTGTGCCTTTTGGCAGTGGACTGAAATGAAAATGATCAGCTTCCTACCTGGAACGAGGCAGAACTGCAGGTGAGGAAATGGAATTGTTTTACCAAGCACTGAAATGACATTTCATATTCTATATGAATAATCCTGACAACAAAATTGCCCATTTTTCCAAAATAGAACCTCCTGCTCTGGAGTGTGTGCACTGGTGGGGTGAAGGGAGGAGGAAAAGGCAACCTCATTACTTTTCAGGAATCTGCAAAACATAAACCAGGAGAGTCTGAATATCTAAATTATCTATATGGGCATTCTTCTTCCATAAAGCAACTTCTAGGTAGTCTACAAAGGCAGAAAACATCTTTTTCTAAGTGCATTTCTCAGATAATGTAATCATAGCTGGGCAGAGAAATCTAAACCTATGGAGGATCGTGTTCTTTACAAAGCATAATTGTGGAACAGAAAAACTTGGCATTCCCTTTTTCCTGTGTCCTTGCTCAGAGGCAATTGCCAGTGATTTCTGTGAAGATCTGACCCAAATAAGAGGCAAGAGAGGCTCTGTGGATGTGGTCCCTCAGCACTGCATGTCCAAACTGCTCTTGCTGCTGGATCTTGCACTGGCAAAGCAGGACCCAAGCTGAAGATGGGGCTCTGACACACCTTCCTCTCAAAGGTGTCAATTGTAGCCAGACTTGACTCATTTGATTAAACACACTGGGTTCATAGTGTTGGTCTTTGTAACTGCTGACACAGATGCACAGGCAGCTCCAAGGCACTGGCCTTTTATCTGACCTTTATTCTGAAGACCATCAATGCTCAGAAAAGCATTGTGTCCTTCTGTTTGCTTGACACCAGAAGAAAATCAAGTGATTTTCAGTATCAGAACATGGCCCCCTGAATGTGATTTCCAGCTTAAAATGGATAAGCAGCTTGAGATACTCAAATAATTCTGCTCTTTAAGTAATTCACTAGAGCTGAAGATAATGCCTTTGACGCTCTTCTGCCCAAATCTTAATATTACAATTTGCTATTTTAAGCTTGTTTATAGAACTGGAATAATATGCAGATAAAAAAAAGGATAATTACTAGGGCGTTTTCAGGCATTAAAGCTGAGGTTTGGAGTTCCTTTTTCTGAGAAAATAAACCAAGGAATGTTTTACTATCTGAAAACCTGGCAACTGGTCTTGGCTTACCGTGAAGTAAAATCAAGCACCACTTTGTTAAAAGCCAGTTTCATCACAATGATCTAGTTGTTCCTTAAAATAATAAAGAGGCCAGAATCAGCAGGAGATTATTTTATTCTGTCCTTTGGGTAGTAATCAATATATCCAGATAAATTTTTCCAGGAGACTCTGGCCTTGCAGCCTGGTTCAGAGGTTTTGTGCACATGCACAGTTTGTACATTCAGGTGTATGGGTCTGGAGGAAATGATTCTCTACACATCCACAAGCCAGGACAAATCCAGGTGATTTGTTGCAATCACATCTGCCCTGAGCTGCCACACCCTGGGAAGGAACATTTATCCCTCCACACAGAGACATTCCAGCATTGGCATCCTTGTACAGGGGTCAAAGGGGGAAGCTGGGCAAAGGAGCTGGAAGCTGGGACTGTCCTGTCTGCTGGGCTCTGAGCTCTCACAGCCTGGGAAGGTACCATGCCACCGGATGCCACAGCCTGGGAATGTGCCATGCCACCGGATGTCACAGCCTGGGAATGTGCCATGCCACCGGATGTCTTGGTGGGCTGCCTGAACAGGACATTCATGGCACAGCAGGCTGCTCCCCAGGGTTGCCCTAGAGCAGTCGAAGGGCACAATCAGACTTCATCTTTCCTTTTTATCTTCCATTTACTGCTTCCATCCTTCCTAGGAACTTCAACAGTGCTGTTTTTTCCCCTTTCCAGCTCAGCTCTAAACTCAGCTTACATTTTCCTTCAGGTTTTTTAAGACATCCAGGCTGCCAAATACCTGAAAAGCTTCAAGTTGGAGTGCAACACTGCAAGGGTAAGCCTGGCAGATCAGTGCCTCAGTAGGAGATAACTCCTGAATGGACTAGCTATCCCTCCTGGAGCTGTGTCACACTGCTGGGAGAGCAGGAGGAGGGGGCAGAGCCTTTCCTCTGGCTGATGTGGAAGGAGGACACTCCTTAGAGGTTGCTCTGCTGCAGTGACTCAGTGCTGTGGAAGCTGTGACTGCCCAAAAATATCTGTGTCACCAAGACCGTTTCCATTTTGCCATCCCCAGTGCTCCCCTTGCACAAGGGCTGGCAGGACAGCAGCACTGGCATCATCCACTGTCAGTCACTGATGTGATCTCTAGAAAATCAGTGCTAAAATATATAAAACCAAGGACATAAATACAAGCATACACAAAGATAAAGTGTGTAAGCAAACTATGTCTTAGTAGAAGTGTTTAAAAATTAAGTTTTCACTTCTAGGCACAATTCAGGCTCAAAAATACAGTCTCAATTGTTACTTACCTGCTTGAGCTGCTTATTTTCCATTAGCTGGATGTGTATGTGGTGTCATGCTGACTAATAACACAGCCTTCTGCTTCCCATGATACTCCAATTATGCCTTCAGTAGTCACTTAAAAGTGCCAGAATAATGAATGAAAATTTCAGAGAAGAAAGAAAAACACAAGAAGCCTGAAGATTATGGATCACACTTAAGGAGACTGAAACATTCAAAATTTTTTTAATGATCTCTCAGTATAAACAAAGCTCCTTAAAATGACATTTTGGAAAGCTGTCCTGTATCAATCTAAATAATTAAGGATAAAGATTAATAAAAGGCGTATAAATCTCATACAGTGGACTTCTCCATCAAACCTGTCTAGCACTGCTTCAGAACCAGGGCTCCTAAATTCTATTTCTCAACAATTAATAAACATTAATTACCACAATATTTGCTTTAGAGGAGTAAATTGTGTCTTGCAGTGAATTACACTCTGTGGCCTTCTAATTAGCAC